TAAGGTATTCCAAAGTCCAAATGGCATCCTTATATAGGTGAAAGTGCCATAAAGACATGTGAAGGTTGTCTTCTTTTGATCTTCTGGAGCAATTGCAATTTTTTTATATCCTGAGTGCCTATCCAAGAAACAATAGCACTCTTTTTTAGCTAGCTTACCTAACATTTGATCAATAAATGGTAAGGGGAAATGATATTTCCATGTGGCCTTATTTAGCTTTCGGTAGTCCATGCAAATTCCCCATCTAGTGACTATCTTTGTGGGAATAAACTCATTGTTTTCATTTGCAACCACTATCATCCAACCTTTCTTTGGTACACATTACATTGGATTTACCCATTCATTATCCGAAATAAGATGAATGACGCTTGCATATAGCCACTTAATGATCTCTTTCATTACCATTTCCTTCATGATTGGATTTAAACTCCTTTGATACTTGAGAGTGGCTTTCTGATTATCCTACAACAAAATTTTATGCATGCATATTGAAAGACTTATCCCTTTTATGTCTACAATTGTCCACATCAGTACCTTCTTGTGCTCTTTTAAAACTCTTAACAACTTATTATCCTACTTGTTAGTAAAATCAAATGAAACAACAATAGGAAGCGTAGACTGGTCATCAAGATATTTATATCTCAAATGATTTGGCAAAGGTTTGAGTTTCAACTTAGGAAGTTATTCAATAGAAGGCTTTTTTAGTGAAGATGAAGAGAAAGAGAAATTAAATAATTCAAATTGTGTTCCCAGGACATTAGATAAGCATTCAACACATTCACACATTCTATGACAAGCTTATCACTTGGTTCAAACTCTACAACCAATGACACCTCAAGTGGGTTACTAGGATGACTTTCCTTGGAAATGTCACTTTTGACCCTATCCATTACACTAAATACACAACACTCACCATGATCATTAATAAGCTTATCTTGTACTCGCAAGGTAAGTCCTCCTTTCTCCACATCGATATGTGTTCTAGCAGTATGTAAAAAAGGTCTCCCAAGGATAATAGGAACTTCTCTATCCTTTTCCATATCGAGTACTATGAAATTCGCTAGGAAAATGAATTTATCTACTTTTATAAATACATCTTCCACTATACCTCTTAAATATATGAGGGTTCTATCAGCCAATTGTAGAGTCACAGTGGTGGGCTTAAGCTCCCCCAAACCTAACTTGTTATAGATAGACAAAGGCATCAAGTTAATACTTGCTCCCAAATCACTAAAGACCTTAGTGAAAAATAATGCACCAATGCTACAAGGAATAATAAAGCAGCTAGAGTCCTTAAGCTTTAAAGGAAGTTTGTTCTACATTATTGCATTGCATTTTTCAATAAGTGCTACTATCTCAAATTCATCTAACCTCTTCATCTTAGACAAAATATCTTTCAAAAATTTTACATATGAAAGCATTTTCTCTATAGCCTCCATGAAGGGAATGTTGATGTGAAGCTTTTTAAACAACTCAGTAAATTTTCAAAACTAGCTTTACTCTTGTTGTTTCTTCAAACACTGAAGAAAAGGTGGTGGTGGTAAAGTTGTCTTAGTCTCTTTCTCTTGGCATAGCTTACTAGAACTTGCAATATATGTCCCATTCTTGATTATCTTGTCTTTTTGTTTAGCTTGTTTTGGGTTACTTTCAACTTCCTTACCACTTCTCAAGGTAATGGCTTGACATGTTCCTTACCTTCCCTCCTAGAGTTTACCTTTGCACCACTAGGTAATGTTCCTCGAGCTCTATTGTTTAATGAGTTGGCAAGTTGACCAATTTGGGTCTCAAGGTTTCAAATTGATGCCACTTGACTTTGAATCAAAGTTGCTTGATTTTGAATGATGGCATCATTCTTTGCCATGAACTACATCAGTAATCCTCTATAGTTGATTTCTTTTCTAGGATAGGTACTCTTACTGGCTGTTGGAACCTAGGAGGCATGTTTAGCCTTGTAGCTAAAGATGGCCGCTGATTGCTACTCTTAAAAAAATTAAGACCGTTCCTCCCCCTTGGGTTGTAAGTGTTGGAGTAAATATTTTTCTGTAGTTTGTTCTCTGTAAACTACGCTATCTCTATACTACTTGACACTAATTCCTTACATGCTCATCTCCACAATACTCGCAAAATATAAAAAGACTTTGAGTTTAGTTAGCATTGAAAGAATCAAGTTTCTTAGTTAGAACTGCTACCTGTGCTAATAATGCTGAAATGGTATCCACATCATGAACTCCAGCTACTCTCCTATACATTTATTGCTTTGCCAACCATTGGTAGCTGTTCAATGCTATATCTTCTAACAAGTCATATGCCTTATCAGTTGACTTTTTCTTGACGGTTCCTCCCACAGCGACATCAATGGTGGTTTGAACATGACCACTCAATCCATTATAGAACATTTGCACTTGTAACCACTTTGGAAGACCATGATGAGGGCAACACGTAAGTAGATCTTTATATCTTTCCCATGCCTCGTACAATGATTCAGAACATAGCTACATGAATGATATGATATCATTCCTTATTTTTGCCATTTTAGCCAAAAGAAAGAACTTAGTAAGAAACTTTTGAGCAAGATCATCCTAAGTTGTTATGGATCTAGAAGGGAGTGCTTTCAGCCACACATTAACTTTTTCCTTCAATGAAAAAGGGAAAAGCCTCGAATGAATTGCATCATCTATGACACCATTGTGTTTAAAGGTGACACATATCTCCAAGAAATTTCAAATATAGGCATTTGGATCATCATTTGGAAAACCCCCAAACTAGATTGAGGTTGCAATCATGGTGATGATGGTCGGCTTGATCTCAAAATTACTAGCTTGAATAGGTTGCCTTCGAATGCTCGATGGAATCTTTTGTGTACCAATGGAACAACATAATCCCTTAAGCAATGATTTTCTTTCATTACTTGGCCTTGAATTTGCTCACCTTATCAATCAACCATTGTATCAGTTTGAGCAAAACCTTGTTTATTTTATCAATGAAGTGTTTAGAGTGTTCTCTCAATATCTAGATCACAAGGTATAATCTCCAATATTTTTGATCTTCTAATACAACAACGAAAGAAAACTAAAAAACAAAGAAAGAAAAACTTAAATGAAGATTAATTTGTTGAATTTTAATATTAACCAAATAAACAGGAAAACAAATCCCGGGCAATGATGTTAAAAACTTCTTGTCAATTTTGCACACACAAGTACATGTATCAAACAAGTAATATAGACAAATTCTAGAGCCATATCCCATACAGATATGCTCCTATTTATTCACTACGCATTAAAATTATGGCAAATTAATCTTATTCAAGTAACTAGATTTAGTAAATAATTAATTAAAACTAAATTTAATTAGAAAACTAAACTAATTAATGAATACTAAACATTCACTAAAGAAAGGAAATAGATTAAAACCTAGGCATGGGTTCATTCAACACTTCATTTGACACCAACTTCTCTTATTATTTACATTCATGGGTGGTTTTGCTAACCTAGAATCCAAACTATACACAAGTCTCTGTCGAGATGCTTGTACAAATACCCAACTTAATTGGGTCACTATATGTCTATAGTAATCAATTAAATAAAGTTGATTAAGCTAGTATTCCAATTTGGCTATGTATGGTATTTTGGTTGATGTCTATCCTAGTTGTAAATTACACGACTTAAATGACGTAAACATACACTATTCAAAGCTTAGTTTAATCTACAATTACTTTGTCAAGTTTCATCTAGATTAACAAATCAGCTAATTATTGGCCAGACAATTAAAGGTATTAAGAACATATTTGAATAAACAAAACTATACCCATTCATAGTCAATAAAAGAGAAACAAATACTTATATTACATTTTAAAATCTGCCACAATCCTAGAAAGATAATTTAGCTCATAATAACTAATAAAAACATTGTCCAAAGAAATTTAGCCATTAATGAAAGGAAAAGAAAATAAAAGAAACACAAAAATAGAGAAAAAAAACAAATAGTTAAAGCTCTTGATCTCAATTCTCCTTTAAATTTTCTTACTTTCTTGCTTTGGTTTTGGCTCTTTTTCTCCAAAATTGTTGCTTGCCATCTTCCCTTGAAAATATCTAAAATGGCCTTTTAAATAAGCCTCAAATAACCTAATTTCCAATTTCCTACATAAAATTTAATTTTTGGGAAATCTTCCTAGCACCATGGTGTTGCCCTCCTTGGCATCATGGCCTTAGGTGGCACTATGTTGCAACAACTTCATCCAGCCTCACGGCCTTTTTTGACTAGCCTCAGAGAACTATGCTTCTTGGTTTTTGTATAGGACACTAATGCCTCATAGCAGCATAGCCTTGAGTAAATCAAGGCTACGGCTTTCTCCTTTTGTGTTGCCTTGTGCAGAGCTGTAGCATTGTAATCACATTCAACATGAATTTCACCTCAATTTGCTATAAAAAGGGTAAAGTGGCAAACATGAAAGTTGTAGCCTTGTGTCTAAGCTTTCCAATGGATCAAGAATTTTATCAACGTGACCTTTTTAACACAAGTTATCCTCAAAATACTACAAAATATATGAATGAAGCCTTTAGCATGTGTAGTTTTTCATCAAATGAGACTTTCTCATCAAATTTCCTACAAAAGCAATAAGAGAAATCAGCAGTAACTATTCTTAAAGTAATTGAAAACAAAATAACATAAAATCAAAATAAAATAACTTAAATTAAACTACTCAGCATGTAATTAAACTTAATTAAGAAAAACAACTAAAATACTAAATTTTGAACCTAAAATCTCGAAGACTTAGCTACTTAAGTCCCCAAAATGTGTTAAAATAACTTTATATAATAGAGTTGTCACCCAGAACATAAGTCGATCTTAGAAAAGCACACTCCACCCTACAACTAATCAAATAAATCATCTATTCTCAAAAGCGGGTATTTAATCTTTATAGTCATTTTGTTGAGTTGTCGGTAGTCGATACACAATTGAAGCCTGCCTCCCTCCGTTTTCACAAACAATACTAGAGCTTCCTAAGGAGAAACACTTAGGTGAATGAAGCCTTTGTTCAACAAATCTTCCAACTGCTCCTTAAGTTTCCTTAGCTCTACCAGAGCCATTCGATATGGAGGTATAGATATTGGCCTCGTATTCGACATAAAATCAATGCAAAATTCAATCTTTTTCTTCAGATGCAATCTAGGTAATTCATCTGAAAATACATCCGAATACTCACCTACTATCAATAGAGAATCAAAACTCCATCCATTGAAATCCCTCCCATCATTTGTATATGTCCTTGACCTTCTTGCCCTAGTATATGTCTCACGACCATAATTGACATAACTCCTGCTGATGTTAGACTGTTATGTCCATAAATCACAAATGAAGGCTTTCCTAAACATTTAAACTTCACAAGTTTATAATGACAATCCACTTTAGCAAAATAGGACGCTAACTAGTCCATCCCCAATATTACATCAAAATCCAAAGCCAACAGTAGCACCAAGTCTACCAAAGTTTCCTTGACCTTAATGTGGACCAAGCATAACTTGTACACATATGCAGCCACAAACACTTCATTAAAGGAATAGTCACAATAAGGGTTCTTCCAAGTTATGAC